GGGGAGGAACGCGCTCCGGTGCGGCTCGGCCCGCGGGGTGGCCTCGTTCGAGCCCGGCTGTCGGCTGGGGGGCCGTGCGTGCGTGCGTAAGGTCTGCGTTCTGTTCTTGCAGGTTTACGATGACAAAGACTACAGGAGAGTTCGGTTTGTCGGCCGTCAGAAGGAGGTTGAGTGGGAGACTGGTCCGGGGGAGTAACGACGCCCCTGGCTGGGCTTCGGGGTCCGCGGGCCTCAGGGACGCAGGTGCAGCGCCGCCCCCGGGACGGGCGCGCACGCGCGCGCGACCCTCCAGTGGCGTTCACGTTCGGGCTCGCGTTCCATCCCCGATACCCCGGTGCACATCCTGCACGAGCCGCCCGGACTGGGCAGGGCACGTGCGGAGTCAGGGTCTGCCCGCGCCGTGAGGCCGTCACGCCGTCCTCGGTTAGATGGCGCTTGTACCTGTTTCTGGTCGGAACCGGCCTGGGCGACTTTGTTTTTATTTCTGGGCCTTGCCCCCCCCCCCCCCCCCGTAATGTAATCCACTGACTTTTAAAATTACTGTTTTTTAAAGATTTTCTTATTTCGAAGGTTAGGGGCGGAGAGGGGTCGTCTTCCCTGGCGCACCCCCCGGCTGGCCGCAACCGCCGGGCTGGGGGGCAAGCCAGGAGCTCCTTCGGGCCTCCCCCGTGGGCGCAGGGGACAGACAGGGGCTCACGGCCGCGCCGCAGCACCGGCCCCTAGGCGCGTTCCTGCCGGGCCTCAGGCGGACAGAGTGGCTGTGAGTGCGTCTTCGCGGAGTGAGGGGCTCCGTGCGCGCAGGGGGGTCCCACGGGAGCCTGCTTCCCGTCTCCGCCCGGCTCGGCGGCTCCGCGGGGTCCGGCCTGTCCTGCCTCCAGCGACTGCAGGACCCCCCCCCCCCCCCCCCCGTGCCGGCGGCCGCTGGCTCTCGCTGTAGCCCCCTCCCCGGATCGGACCTCCCAGAACGGTTGAGCATCAGAAGTTCTGTGAGTGTTGGATTCACGGGGGTCCTGAGGCCAGGTCCCAGGGGCAGTGGGGGCCCAGGAGGTGTGCGCTCTGCTGCAGTGGACGCTGTGTGGCCTTTCCAGACTGATGGCCTTGAGGTGCCATCGCACAGGGTGACGATCCCCGGTGAGGGGGACCACGTGGCTTCTCATTGTGTGTCCAGTGAGACCGCGGGCCGTCCATTGAGACCACGGCGTCCAGTGAGACTGGGGTGTCCAGTGAGACCGCGGCCGTCCAGTGAGACTGCGGCCGTCCGTGAGCGGGTGGGTGATTCCTCAGATGCTCTCGTTCTTTCCTTTTTCGAAAGGCGCAGTGAGGCGGGGGACACACCACGCACGCACACACAAACACGGTGCGTTCATTCTCCGAGTGGCACTACAGCCAGCCTGCTCTCGGTGGAAGCCAGGAGATCCGTCCGGGGCTCACATGGGTGCAGGGCCCACGGGCTTGGGCCGTGTTCCATGCTCTCCCAGGCTCGTTAGCAGGGAGCAGCCGGGGACCCAGCAGGCGCGGTGACGGGGTGCGGCTCTGGTTTACTGTGGGGGTGTTGGTGCACGTGCACCCCCTGCAGTGGCGTCTCCCACATGCAGCAGACGGTGCACAGCTTTGGTGCGGGGCCGGCTTTGAGCACACTTGGCTCGGGTTTGGCGAAGGTCAAGTTCTCTTGTCGGGTGCAGCCACCAGGCAGAGACGAGCAGGCTTGATCGGGTGGGGCCCTTTGGTTTCTGTGGCTGTGAGGGCCGGGCTCCCCCCAGGGCCCTGGCGTCCAGGGGCGCTTCCTTCCCAGGTGGCGCCTGGGCTCAGAGCTGCCCCGTTTCGGTGTCCTGGCTCGGACGCCAGGTCGAGCAGGTTGGCCCTGAAGCCCTTGATGGTGTTGGGGTGAGCTGACCCCAGCCCCAGCTCGGCTCCAGCCGTGACAGCAGGTGCCCCCGTCCCTGAGAAGTGTGCGTGACTTCGGTTCTGGTTGGCACAGTGGAGGGCGCTGCGGGAAGTGGCCCTGGATGGAAGGCGGGCCGTGTGCACGCAGGCCGGCGGCTCCCGCCCCAGTGCCCGACACGGCTGTTGAGCCGTGCGCCAGCCAGCGTCCTGAGCGCTGTTCGCTCCACCACACAGCACAGGGATACGTGTCCAGGCGTGGTAAGACTTTCCGTCAGGAGGTGTCTGGTGCTCTGGGGGCCCATGGGGGCCTTGTTCCGGGTGCAGACGCCCTGCTGAGGCGCCCCACCCGCACTGCTGTGTGGGCAGTGTCCTGGGTGAGCCCAGCCCCCAGGCCCAGCAGTCGTGGGGGGACAGTGCAGTGCGTGTGCTGTCCATGTGCAGTGGGTGTGCTGTCCGCCCACCTCCCGCCACCCCCGGCAGAGCTGGCCCGGGTCTCCACCTCAGATTGCGGCTGCGCCGTTCCCAAGAGCTGCCTGTGGAAGCGCTCGGCCCGGACGGGGGTGACTGTCCCTGTGTACAGGCGGCACGCTCACCTGCTCCCCGCCGGGGTGGGTCACGCTCCAGAGCCCGCAGTGCGGTGAGGGCCCAGACGCGTCTGATCTTGGCTTCTGGGGCGGCCCTCGCTGGACACCTGGCTGCCTGGACCAGCGCAGCCCACCCCCTCTCTGCTCCCCGGCTGGCCCTCTGCTCATCTGGCCTCGCCAGGAGCCGGCACCCTGGGGCCGCCGGTCTCTGTGCAGCCGCGGAAGCCCCTTCCTGTTAGTCCCCCCCCCCCCAGAGCTGTCACCGAAGCGATGCTGAGAGGAAATTCTGACGCGGGGCGGGGCTTCGGGACCCACTCTGCACGATTGCACTCCTCCGAGCCCAGGGCCGGGGGGCACGGAGTTCCTGTTTGGGAGGGAGAGAAGCTCTGGGCACGGCTGGGCACGGCGCTGGTCGCGGCTGCGCAGGGATGGAGGGTGCTGAGTGCCCCCGATCTGCACGTTAAGAAATCTTTGAGGTGGTAAATCTGTCTTTTTAAGATTTGTTTATTTTGAAAGTCAGGGAGAGAAGGGAGGGGTCTTCCACCCATGGCTCACTCCCCAGGTGGCTGCAGTGGTCAGTGCTGGGCCAGGCTGAAGCCAGGAGCCAGGAGCCAGGAGCTCTTCCAGGTCTCCACGCGGGTGCAGGGACCCCAAGCACTTGGGCCATCCTCACTGCTTTCCCAGGCCACAGCAGAGAGCTGGATCGGAAGTGGAGCCGGGACTTGAACCAGTGGAGTGTTGGCGTCACAGGCACCGGCTTTAACCCGGTACACCACAATGCTGGCCCCAGCAGTAAATCTTCCTGATGCGAAATTTTTCCCCACAGTGAAGGGAAAATGGAGAGAAATATGGCTTCCAGCCGGTCCAGGAAGGGACCACGGTGCACAGGTGACCTCTGTGGCTCTCCTGGCTGGTGTCCCCCTCCTTGTTTGCCACGGGCCGGCGCTCTCGGGTAGGGCAGGGTCCATGCTCAGGCTGGGGTCTCAGCGCTGTGCTGTGGCGCTCGTGTGGGGTCACCTGCACACACACGCGGCGTGGGCAGGACAGGACAGCAGCCGAAGGAGTGCGGGGGTCCCCAGGTGCACCAGCACCGAGGACGGTGGGGAGCAGGTGTGGTCACCTGGAGGCGGAGCTGAAAGGCCCGAGCAGGAGCAGCTGGCCAGGGGGAGGCTGGCGTGCGCGCGGGGAGGTGGGCCAGGCCGCAGCGGGAGCAGAGCTTGGGGCGAGGTGGTGCGCGTGGCGGAGCCTGCGCCTGCTTCCCTCACGCTGCTCTTTGAGGGCCTGGCCCCGGTGTCCCATCTTGGGCAGCGTGGCCTGCACCCCTTGGAAGCCCTGCTGTGGGCTTTGCAGCTCCCCGTCCCTGACTGTGCGATGGGAATTGGGAGAGCAGAAGCGATCGGGTTTGCAAATGCAGTTCCTGGCTGCAGGAGAGCCACAGGCTCTGACGGGAGCGAGGTCGAGAGGGAGGAGGCGCCCTAGCCCAGCCGCCGGGGAGCCGGGCCAGGCCCGTGGAGCCGCCCTCGGAGCCGCCGCGGGTTGCTCCCTGGGCTCCAGCAGCCCAGAGCCCATTTGGACGTGGAGGACGGCCAGCCCAGTGACTGGTTTTGAGCATTTTCTACAAATGTGATCAAGTTTGAAAATTAACTTGGTGGAAACCTTAGAATTTTCAGTGATTGAAAGACCACTTTTTTTTTTTTAGATTTATTTGTGTGTTTGAAAGGTAGAATTACAGAGAGAGGGGAGAGACAGGAGTGAGGGCCTCCATCCTGTGGTCCACTCCCTAAATAGCCACAGCGGCCGGAGCTGTGCGGGTCTGAAGCCAGGGCCCAGGAGCTTCCTCCAGGTCTCCCCGCTGGTGCGGCGGCCCCAGCACCTGGGCGTCTCCACTGCTGGGTCAGAAGAGGAGCAGCCGGGACGTGAACTGGTGCCCACGTGCGAAGTTGGTGCTGGAGGCGGAGGCTCAGCCCTCCACCACGGCGCCGGCCGGCCCCCGGGAGAATCATAGACACACACGTGCACGCGCGTTCACACACACACACACACACACACACACACACACACACACACACGGCGGTGTTATGTTAACCGCTCACTGAGCCTGGGTTCGTTCGGGACTGGAGTTTGCAGGCGCCCCGGGTCTGACAGACTCGAGTTTCATCTGCAGTAGATTTCCTCTTCTAATAAATCTAATCTCAAATAAACCTGCCCCTCGGACTGTCCCTCGGCACAGATGTGGGAATCAGAGCGGGGACAGGGCCCTGACAAGTTAATCTGACCCTGTTTGCTGACCCAGTTGCCACGCAGCCACTGTCTGCCCGTGGGGGCGTGGCGTCCCGGGTGCTGGGGGGGGCTGGCTGTGACAGGCTTGCCTGGTGGTTTCCTCGTCACACGTCCTCCCGGTGTCGTGGGCGGCAGCGGTGCCGCCGGCTCCTTTGTATTCCTGCGATGGGGCTGAGGGCTGGCACGCAGATGCTAATCACAGAAGGTCAGGGCTGCCCCGAGGAGCAGGCTCCGTCAGTCAGGCGGCTGCCAGTGCGGCCTGGGTGACAGTTGTCACGGGCACACGCCGGCTCATTTGCATGGAGGGCTGAGCGGGGTGGGAGCTGCCCGCTGGCCGCACAGGCACTGTCTGGTTGGGGCCTGGCGCGTGTGCTTCGCTGAGGCCTCCTTGCTAGCAGCCGCTGCCTGTGTTTCCGGAACTTGGTGAGCTCTGCCGTCTGGGGAAGCTTGGTAAAGTGCTCAGCTCTCCTGGAGGCCCGGTCTGGGTGGGAGGGGAGGTGGGCACCTGGGGGGTCGGCTGGCCTCAGCTGGGGCCCCAGCCCAACAGAGCCACAAGGGGTCGTCCCTGGGAACCCCACCCACAGAGCCACAAGGGGTCATCCCTCAGACCCCCACCCACAGAGCCACACGGGGTCGTCCCTCAGACCCCCACCCACAGAGCCACAAGGGGTCGTCCCTCAGACCCCCACCCACAGAGCCACACGGGGTCGTCCCTCAGACCCCCACCCACAGAGCCACAAGGGGTCGTCCCTGGGAACCCCACCCACAGAGCCACAAGGGGTCGTCCCTCGGACCCCCACCCACAGAGCCACAAGGGGTCATCCCTCGGACCCCCACCCACAGAGCCACAAGGGGTCGTCCCTGGGCGGGAGCCCTCAGCTGAGATGAGCCTGTTGTGCTGATGCCCAGAGCGCCCGGGACAGACTGACGGTGGACAGGGCACTGCTGCCGTGGGGGGTGGGGGCGTGCACATTCAGGACAGACTGATGGTGGACTGGGGCACTGCTGCCGTGGGGGGTGGGGGCGTGCACATTTGGGACAGACTGACGGTGGACAGGGCGCTGCTGCCGGGGGGGGGGTGGGGGCGGTGCACATTCAGGACAGACTGACAGTGGACAGGGCGCTGCTGCTGTGGGGGGTGGGGGCGTGCACATTTGGGACAGACTGACCAGCAGACAGGGGCACTGCTGCCATGGGGGGTGGGGGACACACGTTCGGGGCAGACTGATGGTGGACAGGGTGCTGCTGCCGTGGGGGGTGGGGGCGTGCACATTCGGGACAGACTGATGGTGGACGGGCACTGCTGCCGTGGGGGGTGGGGGCATGCACATTTGGGACAGACTGACCAGCAGACGGGCACTGCTGCCGTGGGGGGTGGGGGACACATGTTCGGGGCTCACGGTGTTTACACGCGTCAGTGCCGAGGCCACGTGGGGTTCCTGCTGTGGACGCCTGTGTCCCCTCGTCTACATCAGGGTCCCGTCAAGGTGCTGGCAGACAGGCCAGGGCTGCCGGCGGGGTGGGGGTGCTCAGTGGCCGCCTGCAGGCACCGGGGCGTGCCGCCTGCCCCAGCTCCGCCCTGCCGGCCCGGGCTGTGCAGCAGGTCTCTGGCACCAGGCTGGAGTCTGGACCGTGAGGGTGACGTGACACATGGCTCTGTGTCGCCCTCGTCCCCAGACGCTGCGTCCTTCCCCAGGTACAACGTCCGGGTGGTGGCAGACGTCGGTTGTGTGTGTTTCAGACGTACAGTCACGCTGGGGGTCCAGACGGAAGCGTGCACCTGCGGGGGCTGGCGGGTCCCGTGGCCCTCACCCGCACCCCTCCCCTTCCTCCCGGGGGGCCGCACTCCTGGTGCTTTCTGAGGCCCTCGCTGTCGTGGTTGCGTGAGGGTGTGTTCTTAGTACAGGAGGTGCACGCGCGCGTGTTTCAGGACACGCGTGTGCTGTGCCGATTGTGGCGTTGTCCCCGTGGCCGGCCTCTGTCCAGATGCAGCGCCGGGTGTGTGTCCCGTCCCATCGGGCTCTCCCTGTGCCTGCGTCTGGGTGGGCGGGAGGTGTTCACATACATCGCATCGTCTGAGTGTGTCTGGCTTTGTGCAGGTGAACGAGAACTTTGCCGTGGACTTGATAGCGGAGCAGCCTGTGAGTACTGTGGAGAGCCGCGTGATCTCCTGTGACGGCGGGGGCGGGGCCCTCGGCCACCCGAAGGTCTACATCAACCTGGTGAGCGCGCGCCTGCACACGCCTGCCTGCCTCTCCCTGCCCCTGCTGGCGGGTGGGCGGGGCTCCCCTTCTCCCACGCCGGCCCTGCGTGTCCTCTGAGCCCCTGCCGTGCCCCTGCTGTCATCGAGGCTGGGCGAGGCCCCCGGGTCAGGGTGGCCCCACGCGAGGCTTCGCCACACCCTGTGTCGGTGTTTCGTGTCACCTCCCGACCCGTGGTGGCTGAAGCTCGGGCCTGGGCCGGTGTGGAGGTGCCAGGGCGTTCCTTTTGAATTTTCTCAGGACAAAGACACGAAGACCGGGACGTGCGGCTACTGCGGGCTGCAGTTCCGACAGCAGCGGCACTAGCGGAAGCTGGGCCGGGGCAGCGGGGTCATGTCCGACTGAATAAAGCTGCTGCTGTCCGCGTGACGGGTGCCGTGTCTCCTTCACAGAGCGAGCCTTGGCCGAAGGGGGACGCTGGGGGGTCATCCCCCCGCGGGGCAGGGGTGCCCTGGGTGGGTCAGACTCCGTCCTTCCCTGCACTGGGGCCGGTGCTGCGGCGTGGTCGGCTGGGCCTCTGCCAGCGGCGCCGGCATCCATGTGGGCGCCAGTTGGTGGCCCAGCCGCTTCTCTTCCAACCCAGCTGCCTCCTGGTGGCCTGGGGGGCAGTGGGCATGGCCTAGGTGCCTGGGCCCCTGCACCTGCGTGGAGGGTCCGGGGAGGCTCCTGGCTCCTGGCTTTGGGTCGGCCCAGCTCCGGCCCTCGTGGCCATTTGGGGACTGGGCCAGCAGATGGGAGACCGCTCACTCTGTCTCCCCCTCTTTCTGTCTGTAACTCTGCCTCTCAGATAAATAAAGTTTTCACCAAGAACTTGGGTTTCTGTTTGAAGCTGAAAGGCCGCGTGCTGGCCGAACTGGGGGCAGTGCGGTGTGGGATGGCTGAAACAGGGCCGGGCGGGCGTTGGGCGAAGTGGCTGAGATCCTGCCCGGGACACCTGCGTCCCTCCTCAGGGAGCCTGGCCGCAGCCCCTGGCTCTGCTCCTCGCTCCAGGTCCTGCTGGTGCGGGCGGGGAGGGAGCAGGTGGCCTAAGGATCTGGGCCCCTGCCTTGCACTTGGGGACCCAGGTAGGCCTCAGGCTCCTGGCTTCAGCTTGGCCCAGCCCTGGCTGTTGCAGGCATTTGGGGGGTGAGCCAGTGGGTGGAAGATGTCTGTCTCTCTCTGTCTTTCAAGTAAAAATTGCAAAAGGAAGAATGACCCAGGAGCCCGGGCGAGGGAGTGGGGATTCCCGAAGACAAGCGTGCGGCAGAGGCTGGGAGGGGCGTGAGCACTGTCTGAGCTCTGGAACACCCGGGCGCGGGGCAAGCCCGGTCCCAGCACTGGTGAGGACACAGGAGGCGTGTCCTGGCTCAAAAGGCTAAGCTCGGCTTCCGGCCTGGCGGTGGTGTGGTGGACGGGAGCCCCAGCCCCTGGCGCGTGGTGGAGGAGGCTGGTGCTGTCCCTGTGCAGAGCTGGGGCCGGCCTGTGGTTGGACGAGGGGCCTGCGCCTTCCAGGCCAAGGGTCCCGGTGAGCGTGGGCCCCGTGCACCAGGGACCCGGTCAGGAGCCGTCGCGGCTCAGAAGTGCACGTCGCGGCTCAGAAGTGCACGGGGGAACTGGAGAAGACAGGGTGGCCGCGAGTTGTGCCTGGCTCACCGTGACCTGGGGCAAGGCAGAGGTCGCGATTCCAGCCTGGCCTCGGGCGTGGGCTGCGCGGGGCCGTGTGGCTTCCTCGCGAGTTGTTGGCAGGTGCGGTGCTGTGCACCGCCCTGGCCTCTGCCTCCAGCCCTGTTCCCGAGGCCCGGGCTTCCCCTGGGGGACGTGCAGCCAGGGCGCCACCTGCCGACTCCAGCTCGGCTTGTCTTCCCTCCCGAAGCGAGCGGCCCTCTGGGAACGGAGCACGGGTTTGTCCTCTTAGGAGGGTCCTTGGGAGCAGACTCTGCTGTGCTCACTCTGTCACCATTTTTTGAAAGATTCATTTTTATTATTTATTTGAAAGGCAGAGAGAGAGAGAGGTCTCCCATCTGCTGCTTCACTCCCAGATGGTCACAGCAAACAGGACCAGGCCAGGCCGAAGCCAGGGGCCAGGAGCTTCCTCCAGGTCTCCCGCGTGGGTGCTGGGACTCAGGCACTTGGGCCATCTGCCGCTGCTTTCGCAGGCCATTAACAGGGAGCTGGGTCAGAAGTGGTGCAGCCAGGACTCGAACTGGCGTCTGATGGGAAGCCCGTGCTTTAGGCAGAGGTCCCATCTGCTAGGTCACAATGGTCCCAGTCAGCACCATTTTTTTTTTTTTAAATATTTATTTGAAAGAGTTACAGAGAGGCAGAGACAGAGAGGGCTTCATCCGCTGGTTCACTCCCCGGATGGCCGCAACGGCTGGAGCTGTGCCGATCAGAAGCCAGGAGCCTCCTCCAGGTGTCCCCTGTGGGTGAGCGAGGGGCCTGATGACTTGGGCCGTCTTCTACTGCTTCCCCAGGCCGTGCAGGGAGCAGGATTGGAAGGGGGCAGCAGGGACTTGAACTGGTGCCCGTATGGGATGCCGGCACTGCAGGTGGAAGCCTAACTTGTTACGCCACGGTGCTGGCCCCTCAACAGTATTTTAACCATAGCAGAATGCCAGGAAAATGACCCCACTGAGCATGGGGAAGTGTTTTCTTTTTAAATATTTGAGAGGCAGAATTAGAAGGAGAAACAGAAGTCTTATCCGCTCGTTCACCCCCCAAACGGCTGCAACAGCCAGAGCTGGGCCAGACCAGAGCCAGGAGCTTCCTCCAGGTCTCCCATGCGTGTGCAGGGACTTGGGCCCTCTGCTGCTTTCCCAGGCCGTAGCAGGGAGCTGGATCGGAAGTGGAGCAGCCGGGACTCGAACTGCACCCACATGGGATGCTGGGCCCTGAATACCTTTTTTATATCAGTTTTTTTTTTTTTTTTAACAAAATGTATCTGTAAGCCACCTAATTTTATTTTAATTGTTTTTATTCATTTGAAAGAGTGACAAAGACACTTGATAGATGGGTGGTAGACGGTAGAGGTCTCCATCTGCGGGTTCACTCCCCAGACGCCCACAGCAGCCGCAGCGAGGCCAGGCCCAAGTCCGGAACCCAGAACCCAGCCCAGGGCCCGAGCACTCACAGGAGGAGTCACTTCCTCCAGGGGAGGGTCGCCCACGTCCCCACGTCCCCACATCCTTGCTGGGACCTCGGCAGGGCTGCCCGGGTCCCTGGGAGCCTGGCTGCAGTGGTGTGGCGGCTTCTCGGCCTCTCCGGGACTGGACGGCTGTGCGTGGTTCAGGCCCTCAGTGGACAGGGCGGAGAGGCCGAGTTCCTCAGAAAAAGTGAGGGCAACGTAAGTGCATGGCGAGGGGCGCCCGCAGCCCAGGACCCCCAGAGGCTCTCACTGGACAGCGTGCCAGGCGCCTGCTGTGTGCTGAGCTCCAGGATGGGGGTCAGAGGCCCGCGGGTGGGGGACACTGCGGGAGGGGGAGATGCAGAGAAGCCCGCCGTGTCGGCCCGGAGGCCGTGGGGTGAGGGAGCTGGACCGGAGCCTTCCTGGCTTAGCGTGGGCTGGGGCACTGGGCATGGAAGACAGCGCTCCCCTCCCAGGTGTAGGGGTCAGGGAGAAGGCCAGGTGGCGGGAGCCTCGGGGGCTGGACCCCCAGGGCGGCCCCTACCCATCGCCCGGGCCCCAGGGGACAGCCCTTTGTCAGCTCTGGCTGTGGTGTGAGACTGAGGAGCTGAAGCCCCCAAGTCTAGAACGTTCTCTGCGCTGGACGGGTTACTGGGGCTGGACTCGTGTTGCTGGAATCGGCAGGAGGCCTGAGTGCGGGCAGGGAAGGTGCTGAACGTGGCACATCCACTTGCCCGCGCCGGGGCGGGGTGTCCTCGGCCCCCTGCAGCTGCGGGGGTGTGAGGTTCACCTGAGACCAGGTGGGAGCTGAGGGGGGCACCCTGGGGTGGCCTGTGGGCCTGGCTCTCAGGCCCAGCCGGGCAGGGTCTGACCTGAAGTGGGAGGGAACAAGCTCCCAGCCCTGGCCTGCGCCCCTTCTGCACCGGCCCCTCGGGGGTCCCAGTACGGGCAGGGACCCGCCGGGCCCATCGCCTGCCCACTGGGGGGCAGCAGTGCACAGCCCACGCGGCCTGGCCAAGCAGAGCTGGCCCCTCTGGGCAGTGTCGGGATGAGGCAGCCTTTGAAATCTGGCCCTGGAGACCCGAGGGCCCAGGGCAGGTGCAGCGCCTCCCGCGGGCGGAAGGCTCCAGAGCCCGGCGCTAGGCGCTGATCACCCCGCAGCTGGGGGACGACTTGGCCCCATGGGACCGAGGGGGCTCCCCGCACCCAGCGACCACCGGAACTCAGGGTCGCCTGGCTGCGGAGCCGAGGCCAATGTCCCGCGCGCCAGGGGGCGCTCCCGGGCCTGCGGCCGGGCCTTCAGGCTGACGCACGCACGCCCCCCAGAGGCCGACGTCGGTACTGCCGCGGGGCAGACTGGACAGGCAGGTGCTCCGCACTGCGCTGGGGCACAACCGGACCTCAGGCAGTCATTCTGGGGACGCACACGGCTCTGTGAAATGCAAATGAGGAGCCCAAGAACGCTCCGACAGTCTCATCTCCACGGAGATCCACTCCGGGAGCTGCGGTCACCCAGCATGTGTCCGGGCACGCGTGGCGGCCCTGCACTGGGAGCGCCGCGCCCCGCACCAACTGCCTCCCCGCGGCCCTCTTCCCCTCCCGCGGAAACGCGGCTTTCCCACGGACTTTCCCCTGAGGCCCTGGTGGGACGGTTGGCGGGAGAGGCCCCGGGAGCCGCCCGTAGCTGTCCACCAGGAGCGCCCGTGTGGACTGCGCCTGTCCCTTTCTAGGGACACTGTCGGGAGTGGCCCCATGGCCGGGGCCGCCGTCCGCTTGGTCCATGCCATCCCACCACAGGGGCTGCTGCGCCCAGACCCGGGGGAGCGGCCGTTGATCTGATCTGTTAGACGCCGTGGCCGGTGCCCCCGCCTGCACAAACGGAGCCTGTGTTGTGGGGCGCAGCCTGCCCGCATGGGGGCGCAGCCTGCCACGCCCTGTGCTCTCTTCAAGGGGGAGTCGTTTGAAAGATGCAGCTGAGGCGTTAGCGAGGGCCATGGAACATTCCAGAGAGGCAGCGTCCCTCGGGCTCCCCAGTTCTCACCAGGCCACCGCAGCGCAGCACGGAGGCGGGGCACAGCGGGCGGGCAGGGCAGGGCAGGGCAGGAGACCCCCCCACACCCGGCTCCCCACCCCGGGACCCCCAGGCCTCCTGCCTCCGCTCTCCTCCCACTCCCGCCGCCCTGCTCAGCTGGACGTCACCCTCGTCCCCGCTGTGGCCACGGGCCTGGCACCGGGAGCTGACCCTGGGGACAGGCTGCATCCCGGC